GGCACAGCCAAGGGTCGAATTGGCCGGGAACGCCCGTAAGCTTTCGCGCTTGCCTTCGGGTAGGGACTACCGGCCGCCGGTCACTGACTCTGTCAGTGATCCCGGCCTTCCAGGTGGTGCTGTCGTTGGGGACAGTCTTGGTGCCGGGCCTGTTCTTTCGGGTTCAGGTCCTGGTGTGACAACAGACTTTCTTTCGGGATTGTCTGTGTCTACCGGGAAACATAGGTCACGGCGAGGTCATAGTGACCTACTGCTTGCACTCCGCGATCCCAAGATGTCCTTTTGTAAACCAAATCTGGTTATTCCAGGTGAAGAAGTATAAAAGATATGCCCCAGACAAACTTTTTGAACATTAAAGGTCAAAGGTCTGTAGCGTGCCAATATGTGAAAACGACCCAATATGTGAAAACAGGAAAAACTATATTGAATTCATTAATTACTGTGTTTAAATTACTTATTATTCAAACTAACTTTAATGTGAACCATCTTAACTAATAAAATCCACTAATCAGCAAAAAAGGTTTTTTTTTCCCTTTTCACGAATTGGGTTGCACATGATAGGACAAATCCTATCAACCCAATATGTGAAAACAGTAAAAAAATGCTTTAAATTCCTAAATAACTATCTGTTTATTACTTATTATTCAAAGAAGCTCTAATGTGAACAAATTCCACTTATTACATAAACTAATTAGCCAAAATATACAAAGATTTTTGTTTCACTTTTCACGAATGGGGTTGCACATGATAGGATAAATCCTATCGACCCAATATGTGAAAACAGTAAAAAAATGCTTTAAATTCCTAAATAACTATCTGTTTATTACTTATTATTCAAAGAAGCTATAATGTGAACAATTTCCACTAATTCGATAGACTAGTTAGCCAAAATATACAAAGATTTTTGTTTCACTTTTCACGAATGGGGTTGCACATGATAGGATAAATCCTATCAACCCAATATGTGAAAACAGTAAAAAAATGTTTTAAATTCCTAAATAACTATCTGTTTATTACTTATTATTCAAAGAAGCTCTAATGTGAGCAATTTCCACTAATTAGATAGACTAATTAGCCAAAATATACAAAGTTTTTTTTACTTTACAATTGTTTTACCTTCCTGCTATGACTTCGAATTTCGACCAAATATTGGCCCATTGCACCTTCCCTTACTTGGGCATTTGGGCTGTAACCCAGGATTGTTCCAGCTAAAATGTCATAACTCTTTGCCTTTTGGTTATTCAGAAGCAATTGCTTTTTGTTTTGTCATTTTTGACGCTTATGACCTTGAAAGTAGGACAATGTCATTTTATCAAAATTGTGTTAAGCTTCATCCGACGATGCCAAACGAATTAATTAAAAGGATAAATTGATGGAAGACGGACATATCGCCACAGGATAAACTCCCTTGGCCTCAAACATGCAAGAAAAGAATATAATACATATGGGCACTACTGTTTATTAAACAATATCCTTATAGACAAAAATATTGTAAAATGTCATAATATGTATCGCTATTGAAACTGAATTTATAGCGGGTAATTCTTTGAGAATGCATATTTAAGCATGTTTTTTTGTTTTTTTAAATATTAAACATTTTTCCATTTACAAGACGCGGTTTTGTTTGCTGAAGAGTCTTTGGGATAAAAGATTTTTTTCTGTACACGAAATATAATAATGTTATGGTTTTATGGGTGACAAAATCTTCATGTTTTGAACTACGAGTTACATATAAAACATACGCCAACATCAGTTTATTGATAAGATATTAGTCGTCTTCAACGAGCCTTAGGTGTTGCCGAGTTAAACCCGTATCCCGAGGGTTGAGATTATCTTTGCACATCACACAAGAAATAACTTTGTATACCACATATTTTACTAAACACAGTCTGGTTCAATACAGAAAACGACACGATTTCCTGTCTCAAACAGTGGTGACTTTGACATTACCCAGTTGTTGACCTGACGTCATTTCAATTCTTGAATTTTTTTTTTAGATTTTTTCCCATCCACTTGACAGACATATATAACTTCCGGTCAAAGAAGGATTTTCATGCTTTCCAGTCATAACTTTTGTAAGACGTATCGTAAAACGTAACAATAGTAATAGCAGATCACGGAAGATGATTAATAACGATCGCTGAATCAATTATTATTTAACCGGAAGATACATGTATAACACACGTGCACTGCATTGTAGCTAATGTTAGTGCAGGCAAATTTGCCATGCACCCAAATTCGTCCTATGACGTCATAATACATAAGATGTGACGTAAATAACGTAACTATAGTCATCAACACAGTTAAAGCCTTCAAACATTTTGACAAAAAATATATAATACGAGACAAAGAGAAAATCAAACAGTTATGAAATTGCTTGTTACACAACGAATTCCGAATATTTGGTCTGTGCGATGGACGTATCGTCAACTAAACTCATTAATTTAAGGCCTGTTGGATGTGATTTAGTGTAAATACCCATGTCGAAACACCAATTGCAGTTTTATGGTCGACTGTGCCGTAAATAGAAGTAAATCCGTTTTGTTTTCTACTAGACCTAGTGCAACTTCATGCAATGTACTGTCAATGTTTGATTACGAAATGACGCTCGGAAATATTTGCTAACTCATTTCCATGTTCGTGCAATGTGTATTAAGAAATCACTCAACCAGTATCTTTCCTAAAGTCTTTTTTTGTCCAACATTCAGCTATCTTACATGAATGTTACGTCATATGCCTTTGAGTGCCGCCAAGGCAAATCAGATTTGAACCTCAATGTTGACGTCATAATTGGATAAAAGAATGACGTCATAAACTTTATTTCAACCTCATTAAAAACCTTTTTTCGGAAATCATCTCTTCTAAAAAAAAAAAAAAAAAATCTTCATATGTCATTTAAAATCCGTTTTAGCATTGAAGTTTTACGCCCTCCGAGAATATTTTCTTACTTTTGTTCACTTACAATAACGTTACGTCAGAGGTTGAAGCACATAATGTGAATTACGTCTGATACTTCAAAATGTTCCCTTTTCCGATTGTAATGTGAAAACAATTAGTGGGTTGTACGGTAAACAGTTGGAGACTTTAAATTAAAGTATAAAGAGGGATATCTTTAACGACATAATGCGCTTGTATAAATATCGACAGCGTATTTTAAAAATCGCAAAAAGACGGGAAACCTATATATATAAAGTTGTGTATTGCTTCATGTTGTTTAGAATGCACATTTCTGGGCAAGATAGAATCTAGAAGAATGAATTATGTCAAAAGCCTATGAATCAGTCTGGTGTTAGTTCTTTACCCACTCTTTTGGAAACTTAATGAACGCTTGTTTGTACAATGTGACGATTACAGGAAGAGACGGGACTGTAGAGTGTGAAGATTACATGACTGGCCTATATAGTGTGCCGATTACAGGACGGGACTGTACAGTGTGACGATTACAGGGCGGGACTGTGCAGTGTGACGATAACAGGGTAGGACTGTACATGCAGTGTGACGATTACAGGGCGGGGCTGTACAGTGTGACGATTACAGGACGGGACTATCCAGTGTGACGATTACAGGGCAGGACTATCCAGTGTGACGACTACAGGACGGGACTGTACAGTGTGACTGTTACAGGATGGGACTGTACAGTGTGACAATTGCAGGGCAGGACTATCCAGTATGACGATTACAGGGCAAGATTATCCAGTTTGACGATTACAGGGCATGACTATCCAGTGTGTCGATTACAGGTCGGGACTGTACAGTGCGTCTGTTAAAGGGCAGGACTATCCAGTGTGACGATTACAGGGCAGGACTGTA